CCCCCCCGCGGCGGCGGGGCCGAGTGGGGTCGCTGCGCCCAGCCGGGGGTGAAAGACTTGCGAGCTGGGCTGCTACGTGCCAGGCCTCTCCCTGCAGCTCGCCTTCCCCCGAGCATGGCCCAGCTGATGCGGGGGGAGGCGGCTTAATGTTGCCCCTTGGGTGCCCGGTGCGCTCTGCGGGAAGGGGGGTACGAGCAGACTCGGTGCCTCTTGTGTGTTGGGGGCGGACAGCGAGGAGCCAAGGCAAGGTTGGGAGACCAAGTGTGATGCTCGGAGGAGGGACAAAGCGGCATAGAGAACAACGAGCCATATAGCGGGGAAGGGATGTCCCCGTCGGTAGGGAGAGGAGACAATAAGGAAGCAGCCCGTGACGGCAAAGCACAATGAAACAAATGAACAGAGGGGGAAGTGACATAAAGGAGAATCAAAGCATGGCAGAGACCATTCAACTTCTAGCACAGGTTTGGGATATAAGCGACTAGGTGACCAACCGACAAGCATAAGCTGGGTCCCACAGAGCCACCTCCCTACCCCCATATGACTGCCTCTATCAGAGGCAGCAAGGCGTGGGATGGGGAGGCTGTGGCAAGCAACCCCTGGCTGTATCCAATAATAGCCGCAATGAACGGGCTGCTGGACTCAGCACGAGCCTGGACTGAGCAGATCTGCCTTGTGCTGGTCCAGGAGCTGCACCTCTGCATTTTAAATTGGTTTTAAAATGCAGAGCCTCAGCATGGGTGACTTCCGGAGCTGTCAGGAGCCAGGACTGCTTGGCTCCTGCAGCTACTGGCACCGTAGCTCTGCAGAGTGGTCCTACTGATGAATTGTATAGTTGATACAAATTGCATTGACTATACAGTTAGCTAGGTAACTGCAATTTAACATCCTTAGCAAAGGTATGAAACAGAAAGTTGATGTGGTGAATTGCAGAGTGCTGCTGTTTTATTTAAATTGCTAATGTTTATAACTAGGTATATAGGGTTGATTTGGGGATTAGTAGATATCCGATAAACTTCGCTTTGCTTCACCTCAGAATTTGGTCTTCTGTTTCACTTGTTGAGATGAGTCTGGATGGTGTCCTCTTATTCACGTGCTAAGGATGGGCTATGGATGCCCATTGATCAAATGTGGAACTTGTGCTCTTGATTGGATGAAGTAGGTAGGTGACAATGGGCACCTACATTTATGTCTCTAATCTGCTGAAGAAAATCTGTTCCATTAAGGTGAATACTACTTTCCTATGACTAAGGGAATTTTTTCTTTTAAGAAGAAAAATAAAATGAACACGATTTCTGTTTTGATCTCTGATAGGATTCATCTTTTTTTTTTTTTTTTTTTTTTTTTTTTTTTTAAAGAGAAAATGAAGCATCTGAAGATAAAGTACAGTTTTACTGGAGAAGTGAAAATTCCACAATTTTACAAGTGGATGGTACAAGGACTTTTAATTATGGTAAGACCCCTTATCACTATATTATCTGAGCAATTGACAATTGTTAATTTTATCCTCAACACATCTGTGATTGCCCACCCCTACTATATCACATCCTGTCATGCAAAGTACAGGATGGATGTAGCCTGTCCAGCCCTTCTATCTGACCTGTCCCTCTGATTAGCAGAGCAAGCATACTTACAGCAGGCAGCAACAGCCACTGGAAACATTTAGCTGTCCCCTCCCCTTCTTGTCAAGTCCTGCAGTAGGGCTGCTCTCAGGACTCTCCGGCTAGCAGGGGAGGATAGGAGACAACAAGAGGGGAATGCTGATATGCCAGGGTGTCCTTCCTCCATACCCCATCTTTGCAGAGCACGGGTCTGCGAAAGGGGGACACAGGAGAGATGCTCCAGTCTGAGGTATGAATGGTGACAGAGACCAGTGCCTCCCAAAGAGGCAGTGCACTGCTCCTAACATTTCTTCAGCAACTAGCTAATTCACTCTCTCACACAGTCAGCACCACACACCCCAGTTTGTTGTGCACCCAGTTTCTGTGTCTCCCACTTTCTCAGTCCGCACAGTCTAACACACACAATGTGTGTCAGTCTTTCACCCCCATCACCTTTGCTTGGGGCCCTGCCCCTTCCATAGATCTAGAGCTGTCCCTTGATGATGTCCCAAAATTCATGTAGTGGCCTCCCTGGAAAAAATTGCCTACTCCAGCAGTGTAGGATGCTTCTCAAGGTTGCTTAAAGCCCCAAAACCATGGAGAAAAATTGCTTGCTGGTGACTCTCATGTATTGTGTTTACCCATCATTGTGATGGAGATCTTTTAATGGTTCCTACTTCTATGAGAATAATAAAATCCCCTTTGCCCACACCTTTTCTTTTATTATTATCATACAGCAAAGACGCAGTGTTTGGTTGTTTAAACCCACACTTGGGCTATAGTAATGCCTGGTCTGTGCTACAGAGTCTTACCAGCAAATGTGTAGAGCCCTGCAAATCCACAGCTATCTGTGGCTCATTTTTCTGCAGTTGCGGATACAAATTTTATATTCATGTGGGGCTCTACATATCTCTGTCTGCTACGAGTGTATGAGTATGAGGGAGAAATCACACCCCTTAGCTGACATAGCTGTTCTTGCAAAAACCTTTGTCAGCATAGCTTCACCTAGAGTGCTTCTGTCACCTTAGCTAAAGTCATTCAGGAATAGGGATGTTAATAAGTAACATCCATGCAGCGGAGGGCTGCTCCAGCATTGCCAGCAGACCTGCTTCTGGCTCTGCAAGAAGCCAGAAGCAGCCCGAGGGAGTAGGGTGGTGCTCCTAACATTTAACTGGCTAATTAAATGGGATTTTACATCCTTATTCAGGAAAATGATGTAGCTGTGTCCCCTAAGATTTGCCAACCAAGAACTGGATCAGATTTCTAAGTCTGACTTAAATGACTTCCCTTCCTTTCTTGCTTCAAATCACAGTAGATAGTATAAATATGACAATTATTAGGTTAAGTATTTATAGCATCTTTTTCAGTTGCATTTAACCATATCCGAATTTCCCACGCTTTGCCTATTACATTTTTGTTCTGTTCATTTTGCGTCCGTTTGGGTTTTAGACAATAAGTTATCTCTGCCATAAAATATCTTGGCATCATCCTGCAGAAGGGTTGGATTTGGGGCCTCAGTGTTTCAATCCCATTGGATTAAAAGATGCCAAAATTAAGTGTGATGGAAGATCATTTTTTCTCAAATCACTGTGCTGCTTTTTAATTTTTCTTCTTGAAGATTGTGTCTTTTGTGCAAATGACAGCACCCAACAAGTATATGAAGGTGTAGCTGTTCCAATTGTTAAGTCGGCTGTCCAAGGATATAATGGTAAGTTTCATATTTGTTTTTATACCTTTACCCTTATTTGTAGAATGTGTGGGTAGTGGTCAATTAATACTTATTCCTCTTTATAGGCACTATTTTTGCCTATGGGCAGACTGCCTCAGGAAAAACTTACACAATGATGGGGAATGGCAAATCTGTGGGCATTATACCTAAAGCGATTGAGGATGTCTTCAAAATTATTTGTAACGTAAGTAATACAGTTAAACTTATTACCTGGATCCTTGTCATAAAAATATAAGAGAAGGGACTTGGTAATGACGAACTTAACAATGGAAACAAGTTACATGCAGCAGCATGTGTTACAATACTTTGCCATGGTTCATAATCCCATATGAAACTTGCGAAGGGCTAGGCTGGGGATGGGTGGGCCATGTTGCTGTGGGATACAGAGTGACATCATCATCACTCTGTCCCACTGGGATAACATTTTTTTTTATAGGTATAGTAAGATATCTAGTATATTATCCGTTGTTACAAAGACAGTCTCAAGTGCGTTGGGATAAGTATGTTCTAAACTCGTCTCTTCAAATAACTTTTTTTCTAAATGACTGTAAATCACCTCTGAAAGTGATTCTGCTAGGTATTTCAAACTATAGAGCTTTGCATAAGAAGGTCAGACTCACATGGTTGAATGCCAGAAGGGACCATTAGTGTCATCTGGTCTGACCTGCAGAACTCAGGTCTGTGAGGAGGTGCAGTGACTAAATTGGGGGCAAGCAAAATCCTCTCAGTGGGCCAGATCTGGCCCACCTAGGGCTTTGATCTGACTCGTGAGGCAGTTCCAGGCCCTGCTTCCTAACGGGTGTGCCCAATCTGTGGCACATGTGCTGTGGGGGGGAAAGAGCTCAGCACTGCCCCTCATCCCGCCCCATGCAGCGGCTGGAGAGGAGGCAGTGCTGGGGCTGGGGCCCCTCCATGGTGCTTCAGCCATGCAATCCAGGGCCGGCCCCAGAGGCAATGTGGCCATGCGTCCCCAGGATGCCCTGGAGGCGCCACAGCCATGGAGCCTGGGACCAACCTTGGAGGTGCCGCTACCATGCGCACATGGTCTAGAGCCAGCCGCAGACCACGTGGCCCCAGCAGCGGTGTCTTCTGCCTCCGGGATTGGCCCTGGGCTGCATGGCTTTGGCAGCGGTGCCTCTGGCTCCAGGCTACATGACCGTGGCAGCAGTGCCTCTGGGCTCTAGCGCAGGCCCTGGATTGCTTGGCTATCATGGCAGCTGGACCCCCTCTGGGACAGTGTGGCTGCAGCCATTGTTGCAAGGGGGCACAAAGCCAGGTAAGGTTCCTTCACATGCCCAGACCCTCCCCAATCTCCCCTCCTTTCCCCACCTTCACCCCAAGAGATGGCACCCCCAGCTTGCTCCGACACCCTCCCTTGTTCTTGCATTCTCTCCTGGCCACACACTGCACCTTCCCTTGTTTCTTCTCCCTCCACTTGGCCAGACACCCTACTCCCAACTTGCTTCTGCACCCCAGCTCCCTCGCAGATCCTGTACCCCATCCCTATTCACTTGCTGGCAGCTCTGTCTTTCGCACTGTACTCCTCATTTTTGTCCCTACCCCAACCTAAAGGGAACCAGAATATCCACTGATTCCAGAACCCCAGGAAAGTAAATCTGGTCTATGGGAAGCCCTAAATCGTAGTCTCCCTCTGCCTCTCCTTCCTTCACCTCCCCCTATGAGGCTGGGCACCAGAGGAGTGAGGTGTCTCACTTGGGATTATATCTGTGAGCATGAGGGTGGGATTGGAGGAATTTTTTTGCTTCTCACTTGTATGGTCCCCAACTATTTTTATGTGGGTCAGTGACCCCTGACCCAAAAAGGGTTTCCCACCCCTAGCATAAATAAAGAAAACATTGAGACCTTTTGTGTTGAACATAATAATTTATTTAAAATGAAGCTTGATAAACACATGCTTAGTCTGTTTCATAATTTAAATTAAACTGTTCTTACCAGCTACAGCTGATTCAGAAAATAAGGTCACCGTACCCAGCAGGGCAATTCTTGGCCCCGCCCGTTCTGCACAATGCCGGCAGCCACTTCAAAAATTTGAAGTGGCCCCCTCCCCTTCCAAAATTATTGCCCACCCCTCGACTAAATGGTGAAATCTGGAGTTTGACTTCCTGTGCTGCAGTAGCTACAATGTATTGGGGTAGGTGTGCACTAGAAAAATATGCTAAAATGAAAAACTTATCAACATCTAAAGTTGTATTGTGTGCTTCATGCCCTTAGGTCATTGGTCTACAACCTTTTTATGCCCAAGGTCACTTTAAATGCAGGACAACCCAGTACCTCCCTTTACCCGTTCCCTGAGGCCCTGCCCACTCCATTTCACCCCTCTCTTTATCACTTGCTCTCTCCCACCCTCACTCAGTTTCACTGGGCTGGGACAGAAGGTGTGGGCTCTGGACCAGGACTAAGGGATTTGGGTGTGGAGAAGCACTGAGAGGTGCAAGTTCTGGGAAGAAATTTGAGTGCAGGAAGGGACTCCAGGCTCAACCAGAATGTTGGAGTTGGGCGTGGGGTGCTGAACGAACTCCGAGGCCAAGGAGAAAACCCCTGAATGCTTGTAGGAATCAGGGCTTTGCATTTCACCCTTCAGTGCCCCTACTGGTCAAACTTCCCTGGTCTGGCACCCTTGGAACCTGATTGATCCTGGACCAGGGGAAGTCAATGCACCGGGGTCTCCACTTTTCCTCCTAGCCAC